CGAGTTCATTCAGGCCATATTTGGTTACAGCGGGGTCATGAGTTGGCAACCCTCAATCGGTGAGCCAATCAAAATGTAGTAAATCCAATAATATGGGGACTTGCTAGGACTTGTAACAGCCCTTATTCAAAAATAGCTTATTATAATACTCTATGTTTCCCTCCAAACTTTTGTTTGACCATTGTTTATAGTTTCTCCTGGGACGATTGCAGGTACCAAGAAACAACGCATGTATTCAAAATATTGGAAGGAAAACAAAGAGTGTTGTGGCCTTATTTTTGACTAGGCCCATTAAACGTGTGCATGTTTGCATTTTTATTGACCCTTTCAAGCTTCTATTGAAAATCCTTTTGTCTTGAAAATTTCTTTAGTCCTATTATCCTCCTTGGATACTCTTGGATAGTAGGTTTTTCGCTCACTAGTCTATTTAAAAGCGTTCTTACAAAGGTAAGGACCCTCGTCAAGGAAACGCCCCGAAGGGAACTCCAAGAGTTATCAGGAAATGTACAGCACTACCTACGGATATCACTCTCTGTGCAGGCACTCATGATCAGGGGTCAGTTCAGGACGTTATTGTAAGCTTTTTGAGTTCTGCCTTTAACTGAATGAGTGAAGTGACATGTTCCTGTACTGATCCACTTGCGATGTAAAGATTAATTGACAGAGATATCCCGGTTAACAACAGACGGTCCCTGATAATATGATGTATACAAATTAAAACGCCTTCCTTTAAACGCCTTTAAACAATATCAAGACCTATCGATATCAAAGCATTCATTTATGTATTTCACATTTTTGTTCTTTTATAATGCCATTCACTTTCAGTCATTGAAAAACCGTTTTATTCACCCTTGAGCTATTGTAAAAATATCAAAAACGGTTATTGAAACCTTATTTGTTCCAAGACAGGTTCGAACATGGATGGTAAAACGCACAACATCGCCATTCAACTCGTTAATTTGCAGCAATATTGCAAACAAGTTGCCTTTGTTGCCCTTTTACTGTGGTTTAGTTAAGTCGGACTTGCGGAAGTCTGGAAAACCTAATTCCCAGAGGTGGTCTATGTTTCAAGACAAAACTTTACTTTTTAAGCCTGAATTGAATTAGCGCAGGATTTTCATAGGTTTATTGTTAGTTTATTTGTCACTAGTTTTGTATCTCTTACTTGTAAGCTTACTTAATCTTAGTTCTCTTAGTTTTGTATCTTGTTTTAGTTTTCGTACTTTTTTATAGCCTACAGTCATCATTTCTACATAAAAAATTCTGTCATTCTGACCACAGGCCGTAGCCCCCGGTTTTGGCTTTACTGATCTTTTGTACCTATATGAACGATGAATAGAGTTAAAGTTAAGTTAAGACTTGCACATTGATGTAATAAGGTTCACAAATAAATTACATTTTTAAGAGAATACTGCTTGAGAAGTAACACTGCTGTAGCAGTTAAGAACTCACTTGTTGTGTCGCCACTGAAACGGCCACAGCAATTTCAAAACACAGCAAGAAGATTGCCCTTTTCATTATTTGGTCTTTGTATCCAGTGTATGAAAAAGCGATAGCTTATCGGATGAAGTTCAGTGGAGGAAGATGAATTGCAGCACACTGGTCGAGGCACGAAGTGACCCCAACTTCAAACAGAACCTTTTAGCAATTAGCTTTTTACAGATACATAATGTATATATGTTGCTGTCAACTTTTTAACTCAGGTAATTTTTCTTTTTCTTTTGTTTCAACTACATTAGCATACACTGCCATACCCAAAAACAAAAGAAAAATTAAAACAAAAACTACCTGGGATAAAAAATTAACTACAACATATATACTCTACGACGAGTCCATTTACCATTGATATTTGGTCAAAGCAGGGCGGGTCATAAGCTAAAAACCCACCATTAATGAGCCAATGAAAATGTAGTAAATCCAGTGATATTTAAATATGATATATGGGGACTTGTTAGGACTTCATCAGTCCTTATCAGTTCAAAAATGCCTCAATATTCTACGTTTTCGCTCCAAACTTTTTCATGCCATGAGCATTGTTTATAGTTTCTCCCAGGGCGATTGTAGTTACCAAGCAAAAATGCATGTGCAAAATACTGAAAGGTAAAACGAAGAGTATTGTGACCTTTTTAAACAAGGCCCATTAAACGTGCGCATGTTTGCATTTTATTGACTCCCTCAAGGTTCAGAAGGTTTCTATTGAAAATCCTTTGTTGTGAAAATTTCTTTAGTCCTATTATCCATCTTTGTTACACTTGGACTGATTGGATGGTAATTTTTGGTTCACTATAAAGCGTTCTGACAAACGTAGGGTCTCTCGTCAAGGAAACGCTTGGCACATGATTATAGCGACCTGCGGAAATCACTATTGGTGCTGGCACTCATAATCTTTGTCTTCAGTTGAGTTCTGCCTTTAATTGTTCGAATGAGTGAAGACCAGCAAGAAGTGACATGTTCCTGCACTAGGTTAACAACAGGCGGTCCCTTATAATATGATGTACACAAAACGCCTTCTGTTAGACGGACACTTACGTTTGGAAAGGCCCTGATATGATTCTGGTCTAATTTTTCAGCGTGGTCGCGTCTTTCTTTCACCGTCTCCCATATTTATTTCTTTTTATAATATGATGTACACAAAACGCCTTCTGTTAGACGGACACTTACGTTTGGAAAGGCCCTGATATGATTCTGGTCTAATTTTTCAGCGTGGTCGCGTCTTTCTTTCACCGTCTCCCATATTTATTTCTTGTTCACCTCCGCCTCTCTATCTCTCTCTCTCTTCCCCTCTCTCCTTTCGCACTTCTTCCCCCCCCCCACCCCCTCCCCACCTCCGCTGGTCATCTGTCAGTCTCATGGCTGTCCGGTCCGTAGCTTCATTACCTATATGGGGATTGTTTAGGGTTGTGCGACGGCGTATAGAAATACAACCCAGTCCAACTCCACCTTCCATAGACGACCACCAATCCAAAACACCAAACATTTTCCCAGTCAAAGCCTTACAGTTGGAACTTCTAGTAAACGGCCACCTCCTTTAAGCAACCGCGACCACTTTTTGGGCCTGACCGTTAATGATTTTGCATTGTTTTTAACCTCTTAAAAGCGACCGCTTGACGAATTCTCTGATCTCTACGTTTGTTTGAGGGGATGGGGTGACTGTACCCTAGGCTAGGTTAACGGGACGTCCGAGAACCCAGGTACAGCTGTGGCCAGGCTTCTTAGCTTTCAGCTATAAATTTAACCAGACACTAGCCTGGGTCCATTAGCCTACGAGTAGCACCCTCTCTTCGACATAGGAACAAAGGAGAAAGGGAGCTCCCTCTCTCCGTTTATTCTTCGTCGGGGGGAGGGTGCGGAAACACGTAGTCAAAGGACCACTGGTTCCGCAATGAGGTGAAAACGGGGAGAGAAGAGAGCCGAGCGGTGGAATGGGAAGGGGGAAGGGGCGCCATCCTTTCCTCTCTTCCAGGCCTGCCTCTCTTCAGACTACGGGTCAGCTCGCTTCGCAACTTCGTCCCCTGCAGGAGCCCCCCGCGGTGGGGTACTCCCATACATGGGCTATAATCCGCTATATAGATACGTGCCGCGGAATAGGGTATGGTTTTTGAGGTTCTCGGTCCTTAAATAGGGTATCTTTTTTGACCCTTTTGTTTCTGTGTCCCTGGTGTGGTCGTTAGATAGGGTAGCTTAATTGTATTATCTAATACTGGAGTGTGAAAACGCCGGCCGGTTGTGATTGCATATTATTAAACTAGGCTTATTCTAGTATTTTATGCTTGATGCTATACATCCAATGTTACAGAGAAGAAATAAAGTTTTCCTTTTCATGCTTTTAATAATTTTGTTTTTTCCTTGAAAAGGGTGTCATTTTTCGGCTTTGGGCCTTAAAAAGGGTATCAGAGTTTATCAGTTTTCGCTTTCTTAGTCCTTAAACAGGGTTAGGGTTCACGAACCTTCGCGGCACATCCCTATCCAAAATTCGCGGGAGTACCCTCCCGGGCAGGAGCCACGGTCTTCTCGTTTTCCAATATGGTGGCGGCAGGGTCTTCGCTCCACGTTTTTGTTTTGTTCTTCGCTTTTCCCCCCCTAACTTGCCCACGGCTTCGAGTGTTCCTCGTTACTCCTAAGACGATTGCGTTACTATTAAAGACAAAAAAAAATGTCAGCTAGGGGGCTAGCATGCGAAAACATCCGTTTCCCCTCGTTCTTCGCCTCTGGGGACGTTTCGCGAGGAGGAACGACGTCCCTCCACGCTAAACGTCCCCGGCTGCGAAGAGCGAGGAGAAACGGATGTTTTCGCAGGCTAGCTTGGGGCAGGAGATAGCTGAGGAGAAAAATCCAGTTTCAAACGAAATCTGAGCTAAAATAGATTGCCGTGAATAAAGAAACTAAGACTTCTATCACTGATATCAAACAACTTTCTGCTGATTTTCGGCGATTTTCCCCTTTTTTTCCTTTTCTTTCGATTTCAAAAATGTAAATACTGGATCAGTTCAAGGTTACCGGAAATGGACCGTAGAACTTCGTACGGTCTTTTATCAGGGAAATACCCTTGTGGAATTGCCTAGCTGTGCGATTTTTTTAAAATAAGGTCTTGCAAAACGCAAACAAGGAGGAAATAGGGCATCCATAGGTCTTAGATTCGTCCATATTTGTCTGTGTGTTGTGGTAGGTCATGGAATTTCGGTTGACACGAAACCGAAATAACCGGCCTGAAGGGGGATTTCCCTGTGACGACACTGTTTGCTAAAAATCCACGCGGGCCTTGAATCAAATGCAAGGTAAATGTTTATATGTCTTATTTTCGTAGCCATTTTAAATATATTTAAAAAAATCATGAAATTATTCAGTTTGGAAACATCTTTGAACTCTGTTGTGATGGTTTGGAAGTGCAATCGACACCTGTGAGTTTTCGCGGGGATTCACCTGATATTTTTGTTGAGAATAGAAATATCATAAAGATTCAAACCTGATTTCAGTTCGAGAGTTGGTCGTGAAGGCTCAACATGGCCAACTGTGAGGCATCAGCCAATTCCCAAGCAGCAATGCAGCGACTAAAGGATGAGTTATCAGATGACGAGAAAAATGGAAACATTGGGAAAATTATCACGTACATTGCAGATCTTTGTCAGACTGGATGGTCTTTTCGGGAGGCTTATCAGAATCTTGGCAAGCTCAGTACGCTTGGTACGCATTTAGAGAAAGTAGGACGCATGCTGGACAACATGACGCGAGACAGCAAAGAAACGATCCTTCAAGTTCTGGATTACCAGAAGAAAAACTGCACGGAAGCCATGATTAAGCATTGCTATGACAAGCAGGGATTTTCACTGATGGAACTTTATGAAGATATCGCACAGGACAAAATTACTAAGCACGAGCAGACGAAGGATATGATTCTAGATGCAATGAAATCTTTTCATCAACAGGAGAGCGACAAGATGATATCTGACATGGTGAAGGGGTCAGCTTTTGTAGCGGCTTTTCAAAGTGTCAAAATTTACATCGCGTGGAAGAAGATTTCGGCTGCATCCAACGTCATTGAAGATCGAAGCGAATTCGATGCCATTCAAAAAAACCTGAAGAAGATGGAGGCGATGGTTACAGAGTTTTTGGATCTCTGCAAAAGAAAACCGAATGATCCAAGTGTTAACCGGAAAATGATGAGGATAAACACGCTGTACACCTCCACACTAGGAAAAATAAGCAACCTGAGAGTGAAGATCGATGGCCACATACAGTGCCTTGATCTTCAAGCAGATTACGCAATGGTGGATGGAGCCGTCAATTTGGCCACCGCTGCAACCCAGGGATTTCAGCTCTGGCACACTTGGTCAGACCTGTCCTCCATTACCAAAGGAATTGGCATGGCCAGTGTAGCTGCCTTCATGGGGCTGGCGTTTGCCAACTATAAAATGTATCAGCTTTCGCAAGATGCATTGATAGACCTACGGAAAAATTTGAATGAAGTCAAAGATCTACAAAATATGCTACAGGATCTTCACGATCAGGCTGCTCAAGTGGTCGAAGAAATGGAGGATTGAATGCCGGAAGCTCACCGGAAGCAGTCAAAGTGAAACAAGATGATCAGGGAAAACTCCCAAGAATACTTATCATGACGTCATCGTCTTATCCGACACCTGCCGCTTAAAGGGTGACTCAAAACGGATTTTGCGTTTCTTTTGTTTAAATACAAAATAATGAATTTTCAACTTAATTCATAGCTGGAATTCTCTCTTCAATTGTTTTGATTTACTGGTGAAGTCTAAATCCAGATGTTTAGGATTAACTGTCAGTGTGTTTCTTTGGAATTATGAGGCCCATTACGTTCTAGAGAGCCTATTCACGCCATACTGACTGAATAGATCACAACAGGACAAAAAATGTAGGAAGTATCTAATAGAATGAAACAAGTTGATTAGGAAAAATTGTCAGAGAAAATGAAATGTATCTGATCATCACACCTGTCAATCTAGTTGCCAGTGCTTTTCCTGTTCAATTAAAGCTTAATCAATAATCACCTTTGAATTGTTTCATTTGATTGCCTTTATGCTAAATGCTAATGCTATCGGGAATAAAACCCATAACCTCAGCACACATGCTCTCCAGCTGATATGGCCCCTTTAAGTGAGGTTAGCCGATCCTTTTTTAAGTATTTCACAACTGTTTTTTCCCATACAAATCCTTGCTTTTCGAAAATCACACAGTAACGCCGATGCTCATATTTCCAGCTTGGGGCTAACTGTGTGTCAACACGCTGAAAAATATTGACTCTTGTTTCCAGGAAAATCCCCTGTCACGTGAAATAGAACAACAACAATGAGTGAAACAATAGCCTGATCCAGGCATTCAGATAGTGGAGTGTGATGCAAAGCAAGAGTGTGGAAGAAAAAAAGGAAGACAGGGAGATAAGGAGAGAGGAGGTTCATTGGCTCTCACTCCCAGGCGCGGATCCACACCGGTTTCCACCGTTTTACGAAAATCGGTCAGAGTTTTCATAGGTAAATAAATTTTCATGAAAAAAAACTTTCCAAGTTAAAATCCGGCCAATATCCTGACTGAATGACTCAGAAACCCAGGAAAAGCGACTTTGGGGAGTGAAAAAAAAAAAAAAATTTCACGGGGTGCATACCTCGGACCCCCTCTAGAAGCTTACGCCTTCGACGCTCGTTTTGGAAAACGGTCAGTATTTATCCTAGATCCGCGCCTGACTCCCTACCCCTACCCTCCCTGTTTTTCCTGCTCACATCTTTTCGCTTCACGCCGCCACCACAAGCAATACATCATGTTATTCGATATATTAAAATTTTATCATGACTCCGACGCTTTCTGGTCATTTTTCTATATTTGGTTTGGGCTTCTTTGTGCTAAATTCTCTAATGCTCTTCTGGGAATTGCAAAACAATGGAGTCATGAAAAATTTGCAATTTTGACCCTAAAGCCTCAGAGTCATTAGAATTTTAATATAATGAATGCAGGCTATTGAAATGATAGCAACTTCCTCATCTCTCCCCAGCCCCGATGCGGTTTTCACGCAACTTTTCGCAATACTCTTTCTCTACTTCAGCTGACTTAGTGTTCTTCAGCTGCTGTATCTTGGAATACCAGGCTATTAATGAAGGGGTATATTTCAAACAAGGAAAATAGGTTTTGGCCAAATGTTTTTTGATTGGCTGTTTTGACAATGTACTTGGTTAAGTATTGGCTAAGTTCAACAAATACAGAGAACGAGAAGCTACTGGTTGAAAGTTGATAATGGACCTACAATAGGCCCTTGATATGTAAAAATTAACCAGAAAAACACTATTGGTCAAGTTTGGTACTTGCGGCTTGTTGATCAGCTAACGGTTGATAGGAGGTCAATTTGGCCAATGCTTTACTGGCATATCACCTGAGTATCAACTGACATACATGTACATTTTAGTGGCCAATATTATCAACCAGTTATGAACTGACTATCAACCAAGTGTTGGCGAACATATCAGCCAACTCTAGCCTGATGAGACAGGTGTCAAAAAATAGACAACAGACAACATGCAGCAAATAAACAAAGCAAAGACAGTTACAGACTGAATATCATCACAGTTATAAGCTTGATAAGAAATCCTGCAGTCGAGGGCCCGTCTCAGTTGGCTTTGAGTTTTGTTGTTCCTTTGCAAGCAAAATTTCCTTTAGCCTGTTGGCCTTTCGTTTTAGTTTCCTTCTTTTCAGTCGTGATAAAAATACACCAGGTGTAGAAACATCATCCATGCTGTTGCTCTGTGTTGTGCCTAACATTTGCATGAATTCACTATTGTACACAGAGATGTTCTGTGGTTGGTTCACACTGTTACTCCATGCTGTACCAAACTTTTGCATTAATTTGCCATAATCCACAGTGTTGTTCTGTGGATAGCCAACATTGCTGCTCTGTTGATGGTTCATACTGTTGCTCTGGGTTGAACCTACAGATTGTGTTAATTCACCATGGCTCACAGTGTTGCCCAGTGGATGGT